CACATGTTCAGTATAAGACTTTAGAACCACAGACACATGTTCAGTATAAGACTTTAGAACCACAGACACATGTTCAGTATAAGACTTTAGAACCACAGACACATGTTCAGTATAAGACTTTAGAACCACAGACACAGTTCAGTATAAGACTTTAGAACCACAGACACACGTTCAGTATAAGACTTTAGAACCACAGACACATGTTCAGTATAAGACTTTAGAACCACAGACACATGTTCAGTATAAGACTTTAGAACCACAGACACATGTTCAGTATAAGACTTAGAACCACAGACACACGTTCAGTATAAGACTTTAGAACCACAGACACATGTTCAGTATAAGACTTTAGAACCACAGACACATCGTTCAGTATAAGACTTTAGAACCACAGACACATGTTCAGTATAAGACTTTAGAACCACAGACACATGTTCAGTATAAGACTTTAGAACCACAGACACACGTTCAGTATAAGACTTTAGAACCACAGACACACGTTCAGTATAAGACTTTAGAACCACAGACACATGTTCAGTATAAGACTTTAGAACCACAGACACACGTTCAGTATAAGACTTTAGAACCACAGACACATGTTCAGTATAAGACTTTAGAACCACAGACACATGTTCAGAATAAGACTTTAGAACCACAGACACATGTTCAGTATAAGACTTTAGAACCACAGACACATGTTCAGTATAAGACTTTAGAACCACAGACACACGTTCAGTATAAGACTTTAGAACCACAGACACATGTTCAGTATAAGACTTTAGAACCACAGACACATGTTCAGTATAAGACTTTAGAACCACAGACACACGTTCAGTATAAGACTTTAGAACCACAGACACATGTTCAGTATAAGACTTTAGAACCACAGACACATGTTCAGTATAAGACTTTAGAACCACAGACACATGTTCAGTATAAGACTTTAGAACCACAGACACATGTTCAGTATAAGACTTTAGAACCACAGACACATGTTCAGTATAAGACTTTAGAACCACAGACACATGTTCAGTATAAGACTTTAGAACCACAGACACACGTTCAGTATAAGACTTTAGAACCACAGACACATGTTCAGTATAAGACTTTAGAACCACAGACACATGTTCAGTATAAGACTTTAGAACCACAGACACATGTTCAGTATAAGACTTTAGAACCACAGACACACGTTCAGTATAAGACTTTAGAACCACAGACACACGTTCAGTATAAGACTTTAGAACCACAGACACATGTTCAGTATAAGACTTTAGAACCACAGACACATGTTCAGTATAAGACTTTAGAACCACAGACACATGTTCAGTATAAGACTTTAGAACCACAGACACATGTTCAGTATAAGACTTTAGAACCACAGACACATGTTCAGTATAAGACTTTAGAACCACAGACACATGTTCAGTATAAGACTTTAGAACCACAGACACATGTTCAGTATAAGACTTTAGAACCACAGACACATGTTCAGTATAAGACTTTAGAACCACAGACACACGTTCAGTATAAGACTTTAGAACCACAGACACATGTTCAGTATAAGACTTTAGAACCACAGACACATGTTCAGTATAAGACTTTAGAACCACAGACACATGTTCAGTATAAGACTTTAGAACCACAGACACATGTTCAGTATAAGAACTTTAGAACCACAGACACATGTTCAGTATAAGACTTTAGAACCACAGACACACGTTCAGTATAAGACTTTAGAACCACAGACACATGTTCAGTATAAGACTTTAGAACCACAGACACATGTTCAGTATAAGACTTTAGAACCACAGACACACGTTCAGTATAAGACTTTAGAACCACAGACACATGTTCAGTATAAGACTTTAGAACCACAGACACATGTTCAGTATAAGACTTTAGAACCACAGACACATGTTCAGTATAAGACTTTAGAACCACAGACACATGTTCAGTATAAGACTTTAGAACCACAGACACATGTTCAGTATAAGACTTTAGAACCACAGACACATGTTCAGTATAAGACTTTAGAACCACAGACACATGTTCAGTATAAGACTTTAGAACCACAGACACATGTTCAGTATAAGACTTTAGAACCACAGACACATGTTCAGTATAAGACTTTAGAACCACAGACACATGTTCAGTATAAGACTTTAGAACCACAGACACATGTTCAGTATAAGACTTTAGAACCACAGACACATGTTCAGAATAAGACTTTAGAACCACAGACACATGTTCAGTATAAGACTTTAGAACCACAGACACATGTTCAGTATAAGACTTTAGAACCACAGACACATGTTCAGTATAAGACTTTAGAACCACAGACACATGTTCAGTATAAGACTTTAGAACCACAGACACATGTTCAGTATAAGACTTTAGAACCACAGACACATGTTCAGTATAAGACTTTAGAACCACAGACACATGTTCAGTATAAGACTTTAGAACCACAGACACATGTTCAGTATAAGACTTTAGAACCACAGACACATGTTCAGTATAAGACTTTAGAACCACAGACACATGTTCAGTATAAGACTTTAGAACCACAGACACATGTTCAGTATAAGACTTTAGAACCACAGACACATGTTCAGTATAAGACTTTAGAACCACAGACACATGTTCAGTATAAGACTTTAGAACCACAGACACATGTTCAGTATAAGACTTTAGAACCACAGACACATGTTCAGTATAAGACTTTAGAACCACAGACACATGTTCAGTATAAGACTTTAGAACCACAGACACATGTTCAGTATAAGACTTTAGAACCACAGACACATGTTCAGTATAAGACTTTAGAACCACAGACACATGTTCAGTATAAGACTTTAGAACCACAGACACATGTTCAGTATAAGACTTTAGAACCACAGACACATGTTCAGAATAAGACTTTAGAACCACAGACACATGTTCAGTATAAGACTTTAGAACCACAGACACATGTTCAGAATAAGACTTTAGAACCACAGACACATGTTCAGAATAAGACTTTAGAACCACAGACACATGTTCAGAATAAGACTTTAGAACCACAGACACATGTTCAGTATAAGACTTTAGAACCACAGACACATGTTCAGTATAAGACTTTAGAACCACAGACACATGTTCAGTATAAGACTTTAGAACCACAGACACATGTTCAGTATAAGACTTTAGAACCACAGACACATGTTCAGAATAAGACTTTAGAACCACAGACACATGTTCAGAATAAGACTTTAGAACCACAGACACATGTTCAGAATAAGACTTTAGAACCACAGACACATGTTCAGAATAAGACTTTAGAACCACAGACACATGTTCAGTATAAGACTTTAGAACCACAGACACATGTTCAGTATAAGACTTTAGAACCACAGACACATGTTCAGTATAAGACTTTAGAACCACAGACACATGTTCAGTATAAGACTTTAGAACCACAGACACATGTTCAGTATAAGACTTTAGAACCACAGACACATGTTCAGTATAAGACTTTAGAACCACAGACACACGTTCAGTATAAGACTTTAGAACCACAGACACATGTTCAGTATAAGACTTTAGAACCACAGACACATGTTCAGTATAAGACTTTAGAACCACAGACACATGTTCAGAATAAGACTTTAGAACCACAGACACATGTTCAGAATAAGACTTTAGAACCACAGACACATGTTCAGAATAAGACTTTAGAACCACAGACACATGTTTGCATTTGATTGAAGACAGACACTCACCATTTCTCTCAACCTCAACATCTGGAGCAGGGACATGGGTTGAGGCTTCTCTCTCGGTGTTGCGGGTGTTGCCGTGTTAGCTGGTGTTAGCGTGCTAGCTGGTGTTAGCTGGGGTTAGCGTGTTAGCTGGTGTTAGCGTGCTAGCTGGTGTTAGCTGGGGTTAGCTGGTGTTAGCTAATGTCCGTAAATATAATCCATTCTCTCAAACCACCTCCAGACTTTTCAGGTCTGTCCACTTTTACTGTTGTGATCTTTCATTTCAAGTAGTCCCTTTTAAGCTTCTTAACTTTTCTCTGCACTGCGACGTCCGTGATATCCAACCCTTCGTCCCTAGCGCTACCTTCGCTAACACTTATTTACACTCACTCGGGTGGCACCATCGAGCTCAAACTGAAGGTGTTGACTGCATCCGCAAACTGAGGAGAGTCGAGTCGAGCCATAGATCCATGAGTCGAGCCCGTGGAAACAACTCTAATGTCCGTAAATGTTCATTTCTTGAAGATTACACCTCAGCTGAACTGACGTATGAGTCCACAAAATCAGAATTACTGTCATAACAAGTATGTGAAGGCTTATAAATAAAAACCCCTGAGTGGTATTTTCCATCACTGAATAACACAAATATCTGTTGCAATGCACATGACCGTAATCACACCTGATATGTTTGAACGAGGCAGAGAATCCTGGCAGAGGGCGGACTGACAGGACAGGAATATGGAACACATGCCTGGATATCAGACTGAATCCTAGACTTGTGACTTCTCTGACTTCTCTCTTCACACACACTTCCTCCAGCTCATCCAGGAGAATCCCAATGTGTTCCCAGGCCAGCTGAGAGACATAGTCCCTCCAGTGTGTCCTGGGTCTTCCCTGGGTCTCCTCCCGGTGGGACGTGCCCAGAAAACCTCCCCAGGGAGGCGGCTAAAAGGATCTGAAACAGATGCCTGAGCCACCTCAACTGGCTCCACTCAACTTGGAGAATCAGCGGCTCTACTCAGAGCTCCTCCCATGTGACCGGGCTTCTCACCCTATCTCTAAGGGAGAGCCCATAATGGTCTCAATCTTCTTGGATTAATACTTCGGTGAAAAATATCTCTGACTTAGTTTTAAGAAACTTAATCTGCAATTCCCCACAGTGATCTTGAAATCAAATCATTATAAGATAATGACAGACATATTACATTTATATTGGTGGAAATGTTATGCTAAGTGTCTAACAATATCTATCTTCTCTAGGTCGAGGGAGCATGGGGAGGAGCAGACCTGCTCCGTGCAATTCTCCAACAAGTCAAGGCCAAAACACACCAACATAGTTTTCCTCAAGACGCACAAAACCGCAAGTTCCACGATGCAGAACATACTTTTCCGGTTTGCTGAGCGTCACAACCTCACCGTGGCTTTACCAAAGAATGGTGACTCCCAGTTTGCGTATCCAAACTTTTTTAATGTCAAATCAGTTCAACTGGAGACAACACCCCCCAACATCATCACAAACCACATGCGGTTCAACAAGGAAGAGCTGGACAAGCTGATGCCTCCGGACACAGTGTACATCACCACCATGAGAGAGACAAGTGCCATGTTTGAATCCTTGTTCGTCTACTGCTATGTATCCTCTGCCAGCATTCGCAGGGTTCCTAATGAGTCGATCGAAGCTTTCTTGGACGATCCATTCAAATATTATCGGCCTTTGGAAGCGCATTCTATGTATGTACGAAACTGCGTGACCTATGACCTGGGCGGGAACAAGGATAGCACCGAAGTGGACTACGCGCAACAATTAGCAGCCAAAGTAGAGAAAACATTTTCACTGGTCATGATTTCCGATTACTTTGATGAATCGCTCATCTTGCTGCGTCACCTCCTCAACTGGGACTTGGAGGATATTGTTTACTTCAAAGCCAACATGAGATCGGAGAAAGCAAAGAAGACCATCACACCAGAGCTGTCAGACAAAATCAGGGCCTGGAATTACATCGATTCTTATCTTTTCGACCACTTCAACGCTTCCTTATGGCGTCAGCTCAAGGCCATAGGGCTGGACTGCGTTGCCAGAGAAGTGCAGTTGTTACGACAAGCTCAGGAAAAACTCTCAATGACCTGTTTTGGGGAGAAGACATCGAGACTTAACTCTGCCGCTAAGATCAAAAACAGGGCTTTGAAGCCATGGCAGCCAGGAAATGTGGAAATAGTTGGTTATGAACTTTCTCCAGATCTGAGCGCAGAGAACCAGACACTTTGTACTAAGCTCACCATGCCAGAACTGCAGTACACAGATGCACTACGACAAGTCCAGATTCAAAGATACAAAAAGCTACATCCAGAGAAACTGCTATAGAAGAACAGAACAAAACTCCCCAGTGAGAAAATGTAATCATTTTATAGGCTTTTTTTCTTCAGAACTCAAGGCAGGGAATGTATTTTAAAAGTATCTATTAAAGGAGCTATACCTGTTTCTGCAGGTTTGAATGTTTAGCCCCGCCCCCAACTCGCTCACAGGCTTCTCATTTCCCCCACGCTCTCCTCCCACTGAGACATCTAGTTTTATTTGTGATCTGATACGTATGCTAACATTAGCATTAGCACAACTTAAGCTGTACAACAATCACTGATGAAATGGTACAAAAGCAACGCACTGCTAAAAAAATATATAACTGAAAGATTACTGCTAGTTTAACGTCCAAATGTCCGAGCGTAGATAGTCCGAGCGTAGATAGTCCGAGCGTAGATAGTCCGAGCGTAGATAGTCAGAGCGTAGATAGTCCGAGCGTAGATAGTCCGAGCGTAGATAGTCCGAGCGTAGATAGTCCGAGCGTAGATAGTCCGAGCGTAGATAGTCCGAGCGTAGATAGTCAGAGCGTAGATAGTCCGAGCGTAGATAGTCCGAGCGTAGATAGTCCGAGCGTAGATAGTCCGAGGCGGTCCCGCAGGTCTCTCCCTCAGACCAGTCTCTCCAGAGGATACGATGTAAGCTAGCTCTGTTCAGGGCTTGGTTTCTTCTTTGATCATGTTGTGGCTTTAGTTCCTCTTCTCTTCCTCACTGTTGTGTGGTTTGGGCTGTTTTGCTGTGTCTGCAGTTACAGCCAGAGGAGTTATAGCCACTTATGCTAACATGCTACTGTGTTTAGCAGCGCTGTAGAGGCTAGAGGACGCAGCCTCGCTCTGTGATTGGAGGAGAGCGGGCGTCACGCTAAGTCTCTACTCAGCACTTTTTACTGAGTTCATACACATCTGAATCAATGAACTCCAGTTTTACATTACATTACTGATTATAAAACAACTCATATGTAGTAAAAAGCATTTTTCTGAACTCCTTGAAAAAAATCGGGTATATCATCTTTAACCAGGTTTTCAATGTAGAGACTTTCAACTTCCCATCAGTCATTTTTTTGTAGTTCCTGTTTTATTTTATATTGTTTGTTCTCCTGTGTCTTTTTGAGTTTCTTCTCCCAGTTAAATTCCCTGTGCTCTTTCCTTCCTGTTGTCAGTCCATTAAATGTTTGTTCCATGGTTCTTGTCTTAATCCTGTGTTCCTGTGTTTTACAAACAGTTGAGTTCTGTTTTTGTTTATTAAAATATATTATTTTTTGCAGTATTCAATTTTGGGTCCTCCTTTTTTTGGAAAGTGACAGATACACTCACCCCTCGTGGTTCATCAACCATTATTATTAAGGCTATCTGTCAGACTGTACAACAAATACTCCTGACTCTGTATAAGTCCTATTTATCTGCAGTAAATAATGTGTGATGCTTTAGTAGTATGAAGCGAGCGCTGACTTGACGGCTTCACAAGACGCTTTGAACTTTCATTTGAATAAGCAAATGAGCTTAATACAGACTGTCCCAAATGTGTGGTGCTACTGTGGATAGACACATCAGTCCCTCCTCCATGAAGTCCCAGTCAAGAGTCTCAGTCCAAGGGTTATAGTATAACATGGAAAAAAATCGCAAATGAAATCAGACAAATATCATGCTGCCGATTTAAATGATTAAACTCATTAAACTGTCTGTCCACGTCCGGGGAAGCGTTTGGACAAAATACACTCCATGATCCAGGTCTGTTGTGGCATGTTCTCTCTGCATGTGGCGTGTTCTGGCTTTGGTCCTGTTCTGGCTTTGGTCCTGTTCTGACTTTGGTCCTGTTCTGACTTTGGTCCTGTTCTGGCTTTGGTCCTGTTCTGGCTTTGGTCCTGTTCTGGCCCGTTTCTCACTGGAGCAGTACATGACCTCGCTTTTTTTGACCAGTGTTTAGTTTTCAAATGTCCTGAGCACTGATTAGCTGCATATTTTTTATTTTAGATGTTATTTGGAAGATCATAGAGACTTGCAAGTTCTAAAACTACAAGTCTGAGTCTTTAGAGACAAGTTCAAGTCGAGTCACAAGTCTCTAAAAAGAGCCACTTAAAGATGCAAGCGATTTTCTTAGCTTAGCCGTAGCACCAACTGGAAACCACTCCCCCCTCCCCTCCCTCTCCACCAAACATCCAGCATTTTCTTTTCCTTGTCACAACAGGGAGAGTGAAGCAAACGTGAAATTGGAATTTTCTGTTCAGCCAGATTTAAGAAAATCCGATAACTCCGGTGCACTCGTGAGAAACAGGAAGAGTGTGAAGGCTGTAAACACATCCCATTGGTTCGTTGGGGATGAAAGAATCCCATTGGTTTATTTTTATCGGTCCGCTCCAAAATGTTTCTTATTATTTTTGGAGACTATAGACATCTGGTCAATACCATTACTATTTGACACATGATAACTTGAGACTTTTAGGGTTTAAGGACGTTTTCCCACAATATTTAAAAAAATGCGTCTGGAAAAAAATCACTGACTGCATCTTTAAATCCTTGCGAGAGCCCATCTCTGACTACAAGTGGTGGTGACATCAAAATAAACAAAAAAGGTTACGTTTTAATGTATTGAGCTGCATTGTAAAAGGAGCTAAGGAGATAATGCGCCTTATGTGATTTTATTTTATTTATTTATTTATTTTTTGGTAAAATGCACTTTAAAACATTCCATTTGTGCGCGCAGCAGGCGGGGGACCTGTCTAAAGTGCCCCCCTTCTCCGAGCCGCTCCTGGCCCCCTCAGAGACGCAGACGCACGCACGGTATTGGCTGTGGGGTGAATAGAACAGAGAGCGGGGGAGATAGAACATCACACACGGAGATCCCACCGAGGAGCCACCGCTACGTGCACCACCCTCCGCTGACCAACGCACCCGTCGTTACGCGCACCATTACTACCCCCGTGCGCGTGAATGTGGAGCGAGCAACAGCCCAAGCGGACGCGGGGATTCGGAATTGTGTACGGGACACTTGAGGGGGTCGACCACCGCCACTCGGACCGCCACATCTCGCACTAGGATCGGATTTGAGATGACAACGGTGCGTATGCCCTGCAGGCGTGATCCCATTGTGTAATAACAGCCTCGTTTATTGTCATATATGAAGCCATCGCATCAAACTGTAAATATGTAAATATACCCAGTGTATACTAGAGCATAGGTGGTACTATGAAGACCAGTGTAGAGTGTAGTGGTACTATAAAGACCAGTGTAGAGTATGGGTGGTACTATGGACACCAGCGCGGTTACTGCATGTGCGTCTGGAGTCATGATTGAGCCTAAAGACGTCTTTCGCCATTTTCGCCGGTTTTAATTGAGACATGAAAGCCACTTTGTGAATGCATTTGTCGCCCAGTGCATGCGTGATTATATCTGTCTGTGTTTTTAAAATAGATTCTTTGTTGGCTGAGATACACGGACTGAGGCGTGCTTCATGTTGTTGTTTATGCCGGTGATGAGTGAGGGGAGCCGGGGGGCGTTTGCGTATCTGAGCGCAGTCTCCAATGAATGATTTAGTCTTTTCTGCGAGATTACTCTGCAGGACCGATACCTTTCAATGCACAGGGGAGAAATGACAGCATCCAACGAGACCTGACTGGGACTCGTTTCTGATGGAGCTATAGCCTGCCCTGCAGAAAGAGGTGGTCCGCAAGAGGGATTTTCAGCATCAGTTTGCTCTTATCTAGATGAGGTGTAGGTTTATTCTTATTGTGCCTTAATATAAAATAGTGCGTTATTTTTAGGTTGAGTGATATCCAATTCAATTTATACATCTGCTACTTCAGTTAAAAGTCAATACAACCTTCGGCCGTAATATTTCATGAATGTTCTATGTGTGAGATAAAAAAGGATTCAGAAATTAAGTTTGTAGGTCACCAAGGCTTCAAAAATAGAGATTTATTGCAAAAGGGCATTAGGTGCAGAATCACATTGCCCTGATTTAAAAAAGGAGAGTCGTTTTGGGATGTTGCCAACCTCTTTTAGGCATAATCCTGCCTTGAAAATATAACTGCATTGTTGTTTTTGATCAGTCTGATGTTGTATGTTAGGTCATAGGTCACTAAAGTGAGCAGTGAGAAGCCGTTCTGAAGGAACTCCTCAGCCTTACAGTAATCGCCCCAGAGCTGATGCTTTTAGACGGATGTTCGTGTTCACTGTTTTAGAAACTACTGCAGAAAGCATTTTTCTGTTTTGTGTTCAGTGTCAATACTTCTCTTGTGCTCAAAATTAATTAAACACCACACTGGGATTAACCAGATTAGATTACCCATGTGACCCTTTGCTGTTGCTGCTGCCGCCGGAGGAGAGATGCACAACAATTAATGACAAACTATTTTTATCTGCGTCCGCTTGTGATTCTCGTGTCAAATCAATAGACCATGAATCATATTCAGATGAAAGGATCGGCCCAATACAGGCACGACCAAACTAAGGCCCGAGGGCCAAGTCTGGCCCTCTGTGTCATTTCGTGGTCCTCTGTCTTGCTCAAAACTAATATTTAGATCATAAACACAAGTTCACAGGGTCATTCAGCCAACCTCAGCTCTGACAAGTATCGACAATGGGATGTTGTAAAGCGATAGTAAACATTTGTCCATCAGCGACCTTAAGTTCTGTCAAATATGAATAAAAATGGGCATAGTACATTTGCTAATTGATTTAATTAAACGTCAAATGTATTTCCAATTCATGCAGTAACCACTTTACTGCATGACCACAATATTGGGCGGCACGGTGGCTGAGTGGTTAGCACTCTCGCCTCTCAGAAAGAAGGTCCTGGGTTCGAATCCCGGTTGGAACAGGGCCTTTCTGAGTGGAGTTTGCATGTTCTCCCCGTGTCTGCGTAGGTTTCCTCCAGGTGCTTTGGTTTCCCCTACCACTAAAAACATGTACAATAGGTCTGTGCCTCCTGTACTGGCCCCTCCCAGACTCTGGTCTGTGAAAGGCAGTGTATAAATAAATATTACTTACTTACTTTACAACAGCATTTAATCTTTTCCTCATCATTCTAACACCTTTGTCTCTGAGTCTTTCCAGATTGAACCAGTATTTGGACATTATTACTATTGATATTAACCGGAGGAACAAGGTGCTGAAATAAACACAAGGGACAGAAGCATCAGTGCAGGGCTCGGCAATAACTCAAATGTAGGCAATTAATCGGCTTTAAAAAAAAATCTAATTTGTGAAAAATGTGAAAATTGTGAAATCGAAAGAAGGATGTTGTGAGAGTTCCAGCAGCACATGAATTATACTTACTATATCAGCACAGTCTGTACAAGACTTCATTTTGAATATTGAGTGGAAAGATCCAAAAATATCTTTAATATTTCTGTCTTCGGTGACTTTAATGAAAATCTATTTAAAATCGAGACTTTACTGTTTTGCCATTTCGTCCAGCCCTACAACACAGTGAACATAGTTAACAAAATATTTTGAACAAATCAGACCTCAACACACACTTGTAGAGTATTAGATTTGTGTCCAAGGGCGCCGGGGTCAGCCTGCCTGGAGGTCATGTGACTCTCAGTGATCATGTGACACTAGTCACATGTGGCTGCAGTTGGAACCAGGAGCTGAAGACCAAACATAGCATCTGCAGCTCGATGGTACCGCGGACAGGAGAGGCTGTGTGTGTGTCTGTGTGTGTCTGTGCGTGTGTGTGTGTGTGTCTGTGTGTGTCTGTGCGTGTGTGTGTGTGTGTCTGTGTGTGTCTGTGTGTGTCTGTGCGTGTATGTGTGTGTGTGTCTGTGCGTGTCTGTGTGTCTGTGTGTGTGTCTGTGTGTGTCTGTGCGTGTGTGTGTGTCTGTGTGTGTCTGTGTGTCTGTGCGTGTGTGTGTGTGTGTCTGTGTGTGTCTGTGCGTGTGTGCATGTGTGTGTCTGTGTGTGTCTGTGCATGCGTGTCTGTGTGTGTGTGTGTGTCTGTGTGTGTGTCCGTGTGTGTCTGTGCGTGCATGTGTGTCTGTGTGTGTGTGGGTGTGTGTGTCTGTGTGGGTGTGTGTATCCACAGTTTTATATCCCTTTGATGCTCATTTATTCGGTGGATCACTTTTTGAGGCACTACTGTATACACAGTATATACAGTATATACTGTATATACAGTATATATAGTATATACTGTATATTTGAAACATGCTTGGGCTTTTACCATCAAGCTACATCTCAACCATTTTGTAGAAGCCTTTAATTAAAAAAACTGAACTAAAAAAGTATATATATATATATATATATATATATATATATATATATATATATATATATATATATCAGAATCAGAATCAGAATCATTTTTATTGCCACGTAAGTAACAGGAGGTCACAGACTTGGAAATTGCTTTGGCTCAGTGCAACAGTCAGAAAGAGATAATAAAAATAAGAATAAAAAACACTTCTAAAGAATAAATGTAAATTTAAAATAGAGTTACAGTCACTATTTACAATATACAAGTGCACATGGTGCACACAATGTAAGGTGACAGCAGTACAGTGAAGTAAAGTGACGTATGATGGGCAGTAAAGTGACTTTATAAAGGGCGGGGGGACAGGTTAAGAAGTGTTCAAGAGTCCAACAGCAGAGGGGAAGAAACTCATATATATATATATATATATATATAATGTATATATAGAGAGAGAGAGAGAGAGAGAGAGAGATCAGCGCTGCCACAGAAGATACGTAGCTTTATCCAAGGAGAGAACATTAAACCTGAAAACCTGAAACCTGATGCAGGTCATGTTTTTATGTACACAGGGTTTAGTCTTCGGTCTGAACTTTCATTTCTATCTTATTCATGGCTACTTTAAATGATATGTCTATACTCTGGAGGAAAATGTTATTCTTGAATAATATTTGACAAATTGCATTATATTATTAAACCTGCTGCTAGCGCTAAAGCAAACTCTGCAGGTGCAGGGATAATTAGCGATGCACCGATATGAGAAGTTATCGATATCAATATTTGTGTTTTTTATCTGAGATGATAAAAGTTTTTACACTCTGAATGTATTCCTCTATTCTCAGAATGTATTTTATTTTAGTCAGAAAGGAGCTTTTCCTTCGTATCACTCTTATTTTGAGTGAAAACTATTTTCAATGCAGCGCATGTAGTTGTTATAAAAAGATTAGATAAAAATACAGTAAAGAATAGACAAGAATAAATAGTCACCAGTAATAATTTACAGGATATTAACGAGATATATAAGGTTTAAAATGGTATTAAAAGTTGTACATTTCATGACATAATAATATTTTTATATAATATAAAACAATGTAACTCTGTAATTGAGGATCCACAAACCTGAACATTTAAGCCTAGCGTACATCGGACTGGCAACTGATTATATCCGTCGCATATGAGTTGCTGCCCCGCACACATCGACAATCTGACGAAAACGGGCAACTCCCAGCAGCAGACCAGTCTCAGGAATAACAGCGGTACATCGACAGCAACTGGCCTCAGTCTGAGGCAAGTCTGAGAAGCAACTGATCATCTCCCACCATCTCCTCTCAGTCGCCAAAAGCCGCCTTGCAACTTGTCTCCAGTTTCTCTGTCGATGTACGCTAGGCTTTAGGGTTTGGTTTTTCCTGCACCGGGCGAAAAGGGAAGAGTTAAAAAGAGTTTCATTAATGATGAGGACGAAGCAGCTGTTGTATTGACCACAGTGGACAGTTCTGATCAATAATACAATAAATAAGGCACAAATGTTACTTTTACCAACATTTGAGGCGGGACATGTCCCAGTAATGACCTTTACTGTCTTTTTGGTGATTTGATGAGCTGTAAATAATACAAAGTGCAGTAAGCTAAAGCCTAGCGTACATCGACAGAGAAACTGGGGACAACTAGTTGCAAGGCGGCTTTTGGCGACTGAGAGGAGATGATGGAGATGATCAGTTGCCCGTGTTCTACTTTTCGGCAACTAGTTGTCCTCAGTTTTGGAGATATGACCCGATGTGCGCGCTCCATGCGCCGCTCCGACGACGTGTGTGTATTGCGTATATTACGCGCCCGCAACAGTTTATGTCAGAAAACACACTGTAGTTGAGGCCAGTTGCTGTCGATGTACGCGCTGTTATTCCTGAGACTGGTCTGCTACTGGGAGTTGCCCGTTTTCGTCAGATTGTCGATGTGTGCGGGGCAGCAACTCATATGCGACGGATATAATCAGTTGCCAGTCCGATGTACGCTAGGCTTAACGGCTCACATTGCACAGCCTGATTTTAGTTTTTTGGTTTGGGACTTTAAACATGTATTTAACAGTTCTTTCCCCCGTTGCCTTGGTTACTACCACCGTATACCGATGTAGTGATTCCACTAGGGATGTAAATCGGCGACCGGTTAACCGGTGGTTGACCGTCACAGCGTTAACCGGTCAAAGCTGTCGGTTAAAAAAGAGAAAAAGGGGAGAGGGGAGGTCTCTTAATAACGCTATTTTAAGCCCTATTTGCACGGTGTGACGAGCGGGTCTGTATCTAGCTGTGTGCGCCCATGTATTATAAACTCCGGGACGACTCTCACGCCGCACGAGCCACATATGCACACACGCACGCACACACGCACGCACACACACACACACACACTTTCCCCCTCTCCATACGTAACATCCACACGCATCATCTCTCCCCTCACCGTCAAAGTTGCACACTGGCGCGGGTCAGAACTACATTGGAGCTTACATTTACACACACACACACACATACACACACACACACATACATACATACACACACACATACACACACACATACACACCCTCTGTGTCACGGAGCCCAAAGGATTCGCACAAATACGCGGCTCCAGTCAAACCACATGGACCATGTTTGTGTTTATGGTCCTCGGGATCAGCTCCACACACATCACTTGTATTTAAACTTTTGTGAAGACCTGTGAGACGCGTCACTCGCTGCTCTGACCATGTGGACGAGCCGTCGTTTGCTGCTAGAAAGTTTTGGTATTAACCCGCAGCACAGCAGAATGGGAAGATTAAAACAGCAGTTCTCTGTGCGCAAAGGTGCCGGAGCTGTTGTGGGTTTGGGCGCCGCTGTCTCGGCTCTGATCCAGTAGAACGCAGAGCTGCACTTATGAAAAGTACGCGGCTCGAAATGGCTGTTATTTCAAAGAACGTGGACTATTTTAAACTACGCGGTTAACCGGTTTCTACCGGTTAATGAGGCTCGGTGGTCGGTCATGAAAATTCATAGTTTTTTACATCCCTAGATTCCACCTTAAGTCGTTCAGTATATCTTTGTTTTAGAAATGAGACATTGTTTCATGCAACAAGCAACATCTCAATGTGTTATTTAAAATGGATTGGTAAAATTCATTAAAGGACTAAAAACCATGATACAAAAGACTTTGTATCATGGTTTACATGAAAGGGAGTGAGAGGGGCTGGAGCAAACACGCATCTGTTTCATCCAGCCCCTTCTTCAAACCATTTATTTCTGATTATTTTGTGTGTTGTTAATTGTTGTTAGTTTCATTTGCTTAATGTTTTAAATAATATTCTTACCACTACTTCGACTACATCTGTACGTACTACAATTAAAAACTACGAAAACGTCTTTGAACGGACTAAGCCTTACTTTCAGGACCATTTCTGTGTAATCTCTGATCTATGTGAAATAAAAACTGCCACAAAGGCTTTCTCTCAGTTCATATCAACACCAGCCTGTCCTTATCCGCACTCTCTGCTCATTCATCATGTCCTGCTGTAACGTCTGGGTCTGGTCCCTGTGTTTGTGATTACAATAGGGGTGAATTCCATCTGACCAATCAGAGAGCGCGGGAGGCGGGTGTTGTAGTTCGATGTCGGTGACGCCAAGAGTTTGCGTCGAACGGGCAGGTTGTAGTTTGGTGAAGAATGCGATAGTAAAGTAATCCAGTCTGATTCTATCAAGAAACTGAAGCCGGAGCAAGAGGAAAGTTTATCAAAAGTCATTGCTGCAAAGATTGTGGCTCTACTCCCCACGGGCTCCGTTAGCGGCAAAGGAGATGGCTATAGCTAGGCTAAATGCTAAAGCTAGGCTAAATGCTAAATGCTAACGACTCACTTGGGCGTATTACAAACGTCACGGTAAACTCAGATCCAATCGTTTCAATCTGCAAAAGGAGTTAACCCCTCCCACCTGTTAACGGAGCTCAATGGAGCAAATCCAGACCTGAGTACAAAATGAAATTAGTACTATGGTGTGGTACGACCAGGCTATATCAATTATGATATACAGTGAAACCTCCTGTGTTAACCCTTTTCTAAACCATCCTTCCTTCTGTCTCAAAACGGCTCTTCTTGGTCCACATTGTGCAGTTCCCGGCGCTCTCCTGAGTCCTCTGTATGTAGGTTAGGCAACGCGACGGCGACTTCACAATGCTCCTTTTACGGCAGGTCGTTCGCTACAAGTATGCGGCACCAAAAAAAACAAAAAAAAGCCCATGTCTATAAGAAAGAGAGACAGACGGCCCCAGCCCGCGTTGAATCAGTGTGCCCTGTGTTTTGGGAACAGCAATATGCCCGATAACAAAGGACTGAGCCAAGGGGGTGACAGGGTGGGGCCCGGGGCTCCGGGGGCTCCCGCTCACTCACAAAAGCCTCTGAGAAGTCAATATGTTGTGCTAAATTCAGCGCAGACTCGGAGCTGAGCCAAAATGCATCTGTCATTGGATTATTCATGCATCATTACAGATTGACCGTGTTTGGGTCATTAATACGTCTGTGAATGGCATAAAATGTATTTGTCTAAATGTGGGGTTCCAAACTTTGTGTTTGTACCAACAGAAAGAGTCCTGTTTAAGTGTTATTTTGTGATATTAGACAGACTTTATTGATCCACAAGAGAAATGGCATTGTCACAGTAGCTTGCATAGTATTCCACATTAAAAATAACAATGAACTAATTTACATATCTGTGAATATTTACATTTACAAAACACAGAGATATCCACTGAGGCTATCTCAATACTGAGTGGTTAGCACTCTCGTTTCTCAGCAAGAAGGTCCTGGGTTTGAATCCCGGTCAAAACATGGCCTTTCTAAGTTGAGTTTGCATGTTCTCCCTGTGTCTACATTGGTTTCCTCCGGGTGCTCCGGTTTCCCCTACCACTAAAAACATGCACAATAGGTCTGTGCCTCCTGTACTGGCCCCTCCCATCTCTGTGGAGTCAGAGACTGATGTAACAACTGTAAACCGCTTTGACTTGGTCTGTGAAAGGCGCTTTATAAATAAATACTTACTAAATAATGGGATACTAAAACATGTCTTTTGCATGTCAATCTCAGGCCAGTGGGCAAAATCCGCAAGACAGAGATTTTTAGTGGCCCCTGAAATTATTTTCTATTATTTTGCTCACGGGAACCTGCAACGTTGATGGTAATGTTATGATTCATTTTAAAGCCCATTGTCTCCATGTTATTGTACAGTAGAAGATATCAGTCTTATAGATCTCTTTATTGATATTCGGCCCAGTTGGGATTGAATACAAACCTACGAGAACATAGTGTCCAAACTTAAGACAAAGGACAAAAATATGTAAACATAGAAATATATACGATACCACTTATACTTCTGGCCCCAAACAGATTTTCAAATTTGGCCCCTGACCAAAAGGAGTTGGACCCCCCTTCACTGACAAAGCTAATCTATAGATGTGAGAGAAGCCAAAAATACAGTAAGTATGTGTGAAAACTAGTGGTAGAGCCAAACCTTTTTTAGAGCCAGGATTATTATTATTATTTTTTTAAATTAAGGACAATGTGCAGTTACATTAAAAAGTAACTGCACCAGATTTAGCTCCATGCTACGTTCCATCTGCAGTCAGTAAACATGCATATTAAAATGCAGTTAAATAAAAAGTGCAAGTTACGGCACAGTAAATGTAAGGCTAGCCTATTTTTAATGCTGCTCAAAAATCCTTTACAAAATGATTAAAATATTACAAGAAAAAAATAGATCAAACCATTTTGACCTAAAAACTGGTTTGAATCAGCTGAGTCCAGGTTAAAACCTGGCAGTTACCCAGTCCACGGTTTGTAATGCATTCATTTTATACTTATGCTTCACAGTAAGAAGGTCCTGGGTTCAGTCCTACCTCCAGATGAGGCGTTTGCATGTTCTCCCCATGTCTGCGTAGGTTTCCTCTGTGTGCTCGGGTTTATTCCATATGTAAAAACATGTTCAAAAGGTGAGGGCTGAATCAGTGTTTGTGACTGTGCGAAAACAACGGGAAATTTACTAAAAAGCTACAATCTGGTGTATTCACTGTCCGACCAAATAAAACAATTAAACTAACAGACAAAATGAATACAAATATGAAATGTGACTGATTTCAAAACTGTTGTATTTGATGATAAATGTGTAAATTGTGCGGCCTTTGGGAACGGTAAGTGGAATCGCCCTGGTCCAGATTCTAGGATCTATGAAAGAACACGGCACCGACCAACAAGCTATGGTCAGTTTGGTGATGAAATAATACTCTGGTGTAGAGCTAACGAATCCTAAACTCTAGGATGTAGAGCTAACGAATCCTAAACTCTAGGATGAGAAGAGTGAAGACAGTACGTTCTTGTTTAAACGGATTTGGACGAAACAATGCCACGTTTTGTTCAGAGCAGAAAGTCAAAACCCTAATAATATAATTGCCTGAGACACAGCGCTCTTGTTCATCATGGGGGGGTCCACTTTGATCTGCCGGGTGTTCATCATGGGGGGTTCACTTTGATCTGCCGGGTGTTCATCATGGGGGGGGGGGGTCCACTTTGATCTGCCGGGTGTTCATCATGGGGGGGTTCACTTTGATCTGCCGGGGTGTTCATCATGGGGGGGTCCACTTTGATCTGCCGGGTGTTCATCATGGGGGGTTCACTTTGATCTGCCGGGTGTTCATCATGGGGGGTCCACTTTGATCTGCCGGGTGTTCATCATGGGGGGTTCACTTTGATCTGCCGGGTGTTCATCATGGGGGGGTCCACTTTGATCTGCCGGATGTTCATCATGGGGGGGGTCCACTTTGATCTGCCGGGTGTTCATCATGGGGGGTCCACTTTGATCTGCCGGGTGTTCATCATGGGGGGGTCCACTTTGATCTGCCGGATGTTCATCATGGGGGGGGTCCACTTTGATCTGCCGGGTGTTCATCATGGGGGGGGGGGGTCCACTTTGATCTGCCGGGTGTTCATCATGGGGGGGTTCACTTTGATCTGCCGGGTGTTCATCATGGGGGGATCCACTTTGATCTGCCGGGTGTTCATCATGGGGGGGTTCACTTTGATCTGCCGGGTGTTCATCATGGGGGGGTCCACTTTGATCTGCCGGGTGTTCATCATGGGGGGATCCACTTTGATCTGCCGGGTGTTCATCATGGGGGGGTTCACTTTGATCTGCCGGGTGTTCATCATGGGGGGGTCCACGTGCCCCAACCTAACCCATTCATCATGGGGGGGTTCACTTTGATCTGCCGGGTGTTCATCATGGGGGGGTCCACGTGCCCCAACCTAACCCATTCATCATGGGGGGGTCCACTTTGATCTGCCGGGTGTTCATCATGGGGAGGTCCACTTTGATCTGCCGGGTGTTCATCATGGGGGGGTCCACTTTGATCTGCCGGGTGTTCATCATGGGGGGTCCACTTTGATCTGCCGGGTGTTCATCATGGGGGGGTCCACTTTGACTCTGCCGGGTGTTCATCATGGGGGGGTTCACTTTGATCTGCCGGGTGTTCATCATGGGGGGTCCACTTTGATCTGCCGGATGTTCATCATGGGGGGGTCCACTTTGATCTGCCGGGTGTTCATCATGGGGAGGTCCACTTTGATCTGCCGGGTGTTCATCATGGGGAGGTCCACTTTGATCTGCCGGGTGTTCATCATGGGGGGGTTCACTTTGATCTGCCGGGTGTTCATCATGGGGGGGTCCACTTTGATCTGCCGGGTGTTCATCATGGGGGGGTCCACGTGCCCCAACCTAACCCATTCATCATGGGGGGGTCCACTTTGATCTGCCGGGTGTTCATCATGGGGGGTCCACTTTGATCTGCCGGGTGTTCATCATGGGGGGGTTCACTTTGATCTGCCGGGTGTTCATCATGGGGGGGTCCACTTTGATCTGCCGGGTGTTCATCATGGGGAGGTCCACTTTGATCTGCCGGGTGTTCATCATGGGGGGTCCACTTTGATCTGCCGCGTGTTCATCATGGGGGGGTTCACTTTGATCTGCCGGGTGTTCATCATGGGGGGGTCCACTTTGATCTGCCGGGTGTTCATCATGGGGAGGTCCACTTTGATCTGCCGGGTGTTCATCATGGGGGGGTCCACTTTGATCTGCCGGGTGTTCATCATGGGGGGGTCCACTTTGATCTGCCGGGTGTTCATCATGGGGGGGGGTCCACTTTGATCTGCCGGGTGTTCATCATGGGGAGGTCCACTTTGATCTGCCGGGTGTTCATCATGGGGGGGTCCACTTTGATCTGCCGGGTGTTCATCATGGGGGGGGGTCCACTTTGATCTGCCGGGTGTTCATCATGGGGAGGTCCACTTTGATCTGCCGGGTGTTCATCATGGGGGGGGTCCACTTTGATCTGCCGGGTGTTCATCATGGGGGGGTCCACTTTGATCTGCCGGGTGTTCATCATGGGGGGGGGTCCACTTTGATCTGCCGGGTGTTCATCATGGGGGGGGGTCCACTTTGATCTGCCGGGTGTTCATCATGGGGGGTCCATGAGCTGTTTGTGGGTGTGCACTTTTAATCACCTGCGTGTATCCGAGTCTGTAGAGGAAGTATTACTGATCAAAAAAACGTTTTCAATTTGATTAATGATAATACAAATAAATACTATCCAGGCTGTTAGTTCCAACATGTCGTTCATGTTTTAGGGAGAGTTGATAGTTCCAACATGTTGTTCATGTTTTAGGGAGAGTTGATAGTTCCAACATGTCGTTCATGTTTTAGGGAGAGTTGATAGTTCCATCCCCCACTCCCCACATCAACCCCCGGCCCGGATCCAATCGCGATCTGGGCCTAGGCCCACTTTAACCGGGCTTTGGGCTGTGCATGTTAGTGCAGCCTCATAGACTATAATTAAAGCTTTTAACATGTTTGCACACTTTGTTTGTGAGAATGATGTGAGATCAATAAAGTTGATCATATCTTTTCTCATCCACATGTTCATTCTACGGTGGTTGGTCCGCTCTATCTGCAGAACAAGTTTCTACTTGTTTCTTGTAACAAGACACACCTCCCAGATAATCTAAAATTATAACCAGAGCGTGGCAGCACTGTGGTCCTGATTAACCATAACCAGAGCGTGGCAGCACTGTGGTCCTGATTAACCATAACCAGAGCGTGGCAGCACTGTGGTCCTGATTAACCATAACCAGAGCGTGGCAGCACTGTGGTCCTGATTAACCATAACCAGAGCGTGGCAGCACTGTGGTCCTGATTAACCGTAACCAGAGCGTGGCAGCACTGTGGTCCTGATTAACCATAACCAGAGCGTGGCAGCACTGTGGTCCTGATTAACCATAACCAGAGCGTGGCAGCACTGTGGTCCTGATTAACCGTAACCAGAGCGTGGCAGCACTGTGGTCCTGATTAACCATAACCAGAGCGTGGCAGCACTGTGGTCCTGATTAACCATAACCAGAGCGTGGCAGCACTGTGGTCCTGATTAACCATAACCAGAGCGTGGCAGCACTGTGGTCCTGATTAACCGTAACCAGAGCGTGGCAGCACTGTGGTCCTGATTAACCATAACCAGAGCGTGGCAGCACTGTGGTCCTGATTAACCATAACCAGAGCGTGGCAGCACTGTGGTCCTGATTAACCGTAACCAGAGCGTGGCAGCACTGTGGTCCTGATTAACCATAACCAGAGTGTGGCAGCACTGTGGTCCTGATTAACCGTAACCAGAGCGTGGCAGCACTGTGGTCCTGATTAACCGTAACCAGAGCGTGGCAGCACTGTGGTCCCGATTAACCATAACCAGAGCGTGGCAGCACTGTGGTCCTGATTAACCGTAGCTGTGCTGCTGAATCTGGATTCTTGTGGAACAGGTCAGTGGTGAATCTTAAACATTACGTTTTATCTGGTTAGTTTTTGGTTATATGCAAATCAATTCAAATTATTTTGCATTATTTTTTTTATTTACAACAGCAGTTGGCAGTGGGAAAACAGTATTCCTTCCTCTCCACTATCCATCTATCTATCTATCTATCTATCTATCTATCTATCTATCTATCTATCTATCTACGCTCGGACTATCTACGCTCAGACATTTGGACGTTAAACTAGCAGTAATCTTTCAGTTATATATTTTGTTAGCAGTGCGTTGCTTTTGTACCATTTCATCAGTGATTGTTGTACAGCTTAAGTTGTGCTAATGCTAATGTTAGCATACGTATCAGATCACAAATGAGAAGCCTGTGAGCGAGTTGGGGGCGGTGCTGCAGAATCAGGTATAGCTCCTTTAATGCAGTGTCAGAAGCTGTTCTTGTATGTAGCTACATGTTGTATAAATGTACTTACACATTTGGACATGTGTTTGGATTTCAACAGTTAATCTGACGACTTTGTTTCTTCACAGTGAAAGACACAGAGTCACAGAGTCAAGGCTAGAGCTTCTGTTGAGCCAGAGCCATGGCAGTGTACAGAGGCACATTCTATTTAAATGTAAAACACTCTTTTCAATCAACTGATGTCATGCTCATTAAAAAACCCAAATCTCTTTGTGTTGTAGTAATACAATAGTGGAATATATAATAATACAAAACAATGGACTGTTTCACTCCAGAGAGAGATGAAGTGCTCCTTACGACACAAATGGACCATCTAGATTCACTTTCCATGTTTGCAATCGCTGGCTGCTGTTCATAAGGTGCCGTATTTTTAAGAAGAAATCTAAAACTGTATTTGAAATGTTTAAATACAATACAGCTGGAGATTTGTTACGTTCAGTACATAGACGTCAGAACTATGGGTGCTCAGACGCCCATGAGGTGGAGGTGGAGAAGCTTATAAAAGTCTGTCTGGCCCACATCTGGGCGCTCTTTCTCAGCCTGGCGCAGATTGAAGTCCTGGCTACACACTACAGTGAGGCAGGAGAGACACGTTTGGCCTTTTAGAATGCGCAGAGTGACCTGATGAATGCGAAGTTTCAGTTGGTCTACTGAGAGAAGGGCCACTTTTGGAAAAATATGAAAGTTCTTATATGATTGCAACCTGTTCCACTTCTGTTAGTGTCAATGTTGCGCGAAATGTTTCATTGTTACAGCTTTTAGAAAAGTATGTTTCTAAAAGCAATTTTATGTTTGTTATTCCAGCTTTGAAATAAACTATTTCCAGTTTGATAAGTGCCTTACTTGATTTATATTGCCTCATTTTCATTTTATTAACAATTAAGTTGCTATGTTATTATCCAGTCTAAGATAAGATAAGATTTGCTTTATTTATCTCACATAGGAGAAATGTACATGTCACGTTTGGCATGGATAGAGACACTCAGATTGTGCAAAAGGAGGAAATGTGCAAACATGTTACATGCAGGATATATATGTACAATAAAGTGACAATAATTTGTCACTTTGTCAATTTGTCACCATATCCAAGTATGTGCTCTCCCTCGACTCTCCCAACAATAAAACCCACCCCCCTCTCAGAAAATAGTTCAGACGTCCATGGTTCAGTATTTATGCCACTGTTGAAGGATTGCCGTTTTTGGAAAAAGTTTATGCTCAGGTTTGAAATGACTATGTACCGGAGAAAGCTGAACAGTTAGCTTAAACAGGTAGACAAGTTAGCGTGAGGCTACGTCACAGAGCGGGGGGGAAAGTGTAGGGCTCAGGATTGTGTATCCGTTGTTTGGGGCAAGGGCTTGGCCCCTCGCGATGACGCAAATTTCAATGTATAATGTGTCTCTGTTTTTTGTTCTGGCTGTTTTTACTTCCAAGCTGAGAATAAAGGCCCAGGTTACTCAGGTGCGCAAAGATCCCGTCTATTGTCTCTCAGTTTCTTGACAGAGATGACATGGCTATTATCTATTGGATGATGTTCACATTAGTGTGACATTTAGGATGGACTGTGAAAAAGGAAGAAAAGTAAAAAATGGGACCTTTAAACCAAAAAGCCCCAATACACACCAAGCTATAGGCCACTCTCACTTATCAACACTGAAACTACAATATACAAGCAAAGAACTAGCATGAAGAATGGAAGACATTACTGAAAATATTTTACGTCGTGACTGAACTGGGTTTGTCAAAGCCTCTGATAACGCTCATCAATGCTCGACCTTAAGTCCTACCACAAACCTAAAGACACAAACATTCTCACTATAGACGCTGAGGAAGGCTTTGGAGAGTGGTTCCGCTTCATAGAACCACTTTCAGCTTCAACCTGTTCAATATCAGAAAGAATGACACTCAAAGCCTAACAATAACACGTACAATCTCACTTGGAAATAACAATCAAAATAGTTTTCCCAAGTGACATTTCACTGTGGAACAAGACACTTCGGTTCCATTGACAAATATTTTAAAGTAAATTCAAATTAAGATATGTTTTTGCAATCGTTTTTTTGCGTATCTTTTTTGCATAGAACTTAAATGATAGCAGTCTTTGTGATTTTCTAATTGCATCAGAATAGTATTTGTTTATCTCCATTGACGTAAGTATGATTAAATGATAAATAATATTGTGTCCTACATCTTGAGAGGGGCCTCGGTGCTGACAGATGGAGATGGGGACCAGTTCCAGTTTCCTTCAGTGCGAACGTTTTAATTTACTTTTAAAAATCCGGGAGACAGATTTCAGCCAAACCAGGATTAAACATGTCTGAATGGGGAGATTACAGATGCCCTATTTATGGCCTGGTTCTCTGCCTCTGGCTCGATAATGATCATTTATACAGATGTAGGGGTGTGCCTTCTTTATGCCCGTCTCAATACAACAACAAAAGAGCCATATTTCAACTTTGAGCATTAACAAGAAAACAGTAGAATAGTGGCTGATGGTGAAAAGAAGAATTGCCGCAGAAATATCTACACATGTAAACGACTTATTTGTACAGACAAAATGTTCTTTATGTGTGTTAATAATGAGTCATGATCATGTGACTGAAGTGGAAGACT